TTTTTCTCTAATTTTGGTCTGCAAACTTAGGTTGTTAACCATCCAGAAGACAAGCTTATTGTTATTACCATACAACTTAGGCTGTTAAGCTGAACCTCACTATCTGTCTGAATATCAAACATTTTAGGCATAACATGGAACAGGTATTTTTCATCAAGTATTGATATGTTGAACTTTAAGTCCCTACAGAATATGAAAAAACATTTGAAAAATTAAAATATATTTTTAAAATAGGCATAACACACATCTTCTGAGGAGTATCTATCTGTCAGAGCCTTTGCCCATTTTTTAATCAAGTCATTTTCTTGTTCTTGAGGACTTGGTATTACATACTACAGTGCCCTTATATCCTTTGGGACTGGCCCCTTCTAAGACAGATGGCTTGCAGATACTTTTCCTCCGGTCTGTATGTTGTCTTTTCATAGTGTGGGATTTTTAAACATGTACACAATTTTTCTAAGTGCATAAATTAATATTTTTTAGTACTCTATTAGGTATCGTGGCAGTATTTTCCTTTTTCCTTTAGTCTCATGAAAAAACACTTTTGAAGGACATAAATAAGATCTACAAATGCATTTAGTAAGCCTCGTAGTCAGGTGGCCTCCGACCTCGTTTCCTGTTGGTCCCAGAGCATCTTCATACAGTCTGGACTTCCTGGTTGCTCTGGCAAGTGCTGTTTAGTGTCTTCCTCTGTCCTCTGTGTTTGCTGTAAACTGGAAGCATTCTTGACTGTTTCCTGATGAAATCACTAAGTTGAGTTATCTGAAAATGCCCGTCAGGGGCCAGGGAGATAGCTGAGCAGCATAAGCGCCTGCCCGGCAAGTGCAAGGTCCTGAGTTGAGTACCTGAACCACAAAGAAAAAAAAGAAAATGTCCATTGTTTGTGTCACACATAGTTGAATATCAGCAGTTTCAAGTAGTTCGACCTAGTAAATAATGGAGATGGTCTAAACTCAGTGTGTGCCGCTCACCCCCTGCTTTTTTCCTTATCGTTTATTTGTTGCTGACACTAGATTATTGTCTGTCTTGCCTTCCGGGACATGTCATGTGAGGGCAAAGACCCTGTCTGTCACATTTACAGTCTCTTCAGCACCTGAAAGAGTACAAATGCACAGCTGCTCAGAAGTTTTGGGATGTTTGAAGGGAGGATGTATCGGTTAGAGTTCTCTAGAGGAGCAGTCCGCAAGAAAAACAAAAAGGGCTTTCCAGTAGTCTCACAGGATTTGAGGTGGGAAAGGCCACGGTGGCTCTGAGCCAGAGAGCCAGAGGACCCGCTAGCTGCTTCGTCGGGAGTCCAGAAGGATCATCAGCACCACCCTGAGATGGAAGCCTTGGAGCTCCGTGGAGAAGCTGGCGTGAGTCCACGTTAAGGGTTGAAAGAAACTGCAGGGAGATGTCCACAGGCCGTGGCTGTGGCAAAAGTCATACCTACTCCAGAAGAGAGGAGCTTTTCAAGTGCAGGAACTCTCCTTCCCCACTTCCATTCTGGCAGCCTTTTGGACGGTGCCACTCACAGACAGGGTGGGTCTTCGCCTCTCGGCCCGCAGGCCTCAGCCAGTCATCCTGCAGTCACTGCAGACACGCCCAGAGGTATGCCCTGCTGCTCTGCTAAGTAGTCAGGTGGCAGTCACAACTAATGGTCACAGAGCTCCAGGCCAGGTATGTGTTTAGGCAACATCCTAATCAAAATCTCTAAGCCCTTGCAAATGTAAGTGTTTGGAACTAATGACTCAGAATGTTTATGATAATTGTTTAAAATTGTATTATAGGTGCAGAAACTAGTAAGAGAGCAAGTGTTACCACTTGTCCAGATCAGTTTCAGTTTCCCTCGGCACTCGGTCCTGTAAGCTTAAGGTCTACTGAGGGGGTGGGTGTGTGTCTCTGAGTCTGTCTGTCTTTCATTTTCCCTCGGCACTCAGTCCTGTAAGCTTAAGGTCTACTGAGGGTGTGGGTGTGTGTCTCTGAGTCTGTCTGTCTTTCATTTTCCCTCGGCACTCAGTCCTGTAAGCTTAAGGTCTACTGAGGGCGTGGGTGTGTGTGTCTGAGTCTGTCTGTCTTCATTGTTTGGTCTTTTGGTTTGGGCACTTTGGGGGGAGGTGGAGGGGTCTTGTTTATTTGTGTATTTATTTTGGGTTTTGTTTTTGTTGCTGTTTTTGTTTTGAAATAGTGTCTCACTATGTTGCCCAGGCTAGCTTGAAACTCTATGTAACTCAAGGTGACCTTCAACTTGAAATCCTCCTGCCTCAGCCTTCTGATTGCTAGAATTACAGACATGCACCATCACACCTGCCTCTGGTATATATTTTTGTTTTATGGGCCTTGTGGATGACCTGCCTTATTAGTGCTTCCAGCTTTGGTGCAGTCTAGTGTCTTAGCTGCTCGGTAACTGAATGCTGTTGAGAGTGAGCAAGTTGTCGGGAGGGGTCCAATAGTTGATTGCAGGAAAGGTTTTGTATTGATTGTATATTATAGTGATTTGTTGATTTTCATATACAGTATATATTAAAAATCTCAGTAAAAGGGCCACCGAGATAGCTTAGGCAAGCACAGAGATAGGGTTTCAATCCCCAGCACTACAGGCCATGCCAGCCACTGGGTCCTGGCATGGTGGCGCTCACCTGTAATCCCAGCACTGGGGAGGGTGAAAACAGGAGGATCACTACAAGTCTGAGCTGTGTAGTAAGACCTTGTACCAAAAACATTAAAAAATAATAATAATCTCAGTATGTTGGGTTAGCTAAGACTTCAAAGCTAATTTTACTTGTTTTTCTTTTACTTTTTTTAATGTGGACAATGAGAATTCCACAGTATTTATTTCACATCGTCCTGCTGTTGTCCAGCCTCTTGTGAATGATGGTGCCCTGGTTGAGTGTGTTTGTGTCGAGTCACATACCTGATCCCTCGCTGTGTGCACTGTCACCAAGTGGATATTACAAGCTGGAGGTTGTGCTGTCTTCAGCCCGAGGCTCCCAGACTCATGCCCACAGCCCCACCTTGACCGGCAGAGCTGTGATTCTCTGCACTGCCACCCAGGGCTTGTGGGTCTGCAGGGTGGGGGCACAGGAGCATTTGATCAGGGGTTCTCATCCAGGTTCTGTTTACTTTAGGCAGATCATTCATCTACCCAGACATTGGTCCCTCCCTCAACGTGAAGGGTTGGACTGTGCCGTCTCAGGATTCTGTTCCCTGTACTGCCCAGGAGCTGATCTGGAAACTCTCAGAGCAGCTTATTGCCATAACTGGCAGCCCCCTTGTCTCAGAAAATCCACTCCATCCTAAAGCATCTTAAAAGGATGTGAGATTATTTTAATCTAAACAGTCGTTGTAATTACTCTTAAGTTTGTAACAGAAGAAAGCATTAGAATGGAGTAGTAAGACTTGATTTTATAAGTGGTATAATGAAAGCCCACCACCTTCTCTTCTCGGTGCCCAGCCCGGGAGGAGCTTGGCCATGCATACTTGGAGGTCATTAGGA